TTTCAAGTAATTAATTACTTTTAAAATATTGTAACTCAGTTACTAACTCAGTTACTTTTTTGAAGAAGTAACTAGTAACTATAATTAATTACTTTTTCAAAGTAACTTGACCAACACTGTACAGTGACTATGTCAATAATATTGAACTTTAAGGGCACTTTCTGTAGCCAAGAGGGTTTAACCAGAAATAAAATGGATTTTTAAAACATTGTTTTATACTATAATTATTTTGAACAAAGTAATGTGTATTAATAAATTGCCTTTTTTAAATTGTGAGTTTTGCATGTGTACAAATGATGATTTTAAGATTTAAAACCTGCTGTTACTGCTAAACTTTCTAAAACATAAAATTCATGAAAGAATCAGTGTAAATATGATGACGTTAGAAAAAAATGTAACAGTTTTCAGTTCTAGGAAGGATGATTAAGGCTGATTTACTCAAAGCTGAGTGCTTCGACGGATAGGCATAAATAGATTCACCATGGCAACAGGTAAATACTCTACTTGAGTGCAGTGGGTTGAGGACTGTGCTTCATTGTAGATCATTATTTATATTTATCTTTCATAAAAAAGGGAAAAAACTATTTTTTCCTGTTCAGGGTTGTTTACTCCTCATTTTACCCAACTTCATTTTTACTTCATGCTGACAAACCTAGACTCTGGCCAAATGATGCATTTAATGTTTACATCTAATTAATCAAATAAAGATACAAATATCAATCAAACAGAAAAGACACATTATATATCCAGTGAAACCAGTTTTTGTGATTTCCAACACTTATACATACACTGGACATTTAAACATTTAATGACTACATTTGAACATTTACACATATTTCAACATGAAAAACAATAAGAGTGCACTTGGATTGTCTGCAGCCTGGATTTGAAAACTACTCTAAGCTACATTTATTTTTAGGTTTTTTTGGATGTTGGAGAACCAGAAAATTCATCCACCATTGCTACGATTGCTGTTTGCATTAGTCACACTGCTATCATGTGTAGTATTAAAACCACATAAAGTTTTCCTTTTTTTTAAAAGCAACATGTTTTTTTTTCTCAGAAAGCTCAGAAGCTGCACATGAAACAATAAAACTAATGCTAACGTAGACAGGAAACACTACATGTGGCAAGGCAAATTTATTTTTGGATCATCTACCTGTTTCTCATCCTATCCCTTGCATCCTCCTCATTACACTAGCACTCTTGCTATCCTTCTTCACTCAATCCACAAATCTTCTTTGTGGTCTTCCTCCATCTTCAAAAGCATTTGTCCAGTATAAACATTGTATCTCCACTGTTTCCACTTTGCTTTTTTTTTTTGTCTCTGAACTGCTCAGCCTTGCCTGTTCCTCTAATGTACTAATTTCTATTTTTTTTTTTTCATTCTGGTCTCTCATAGTCAAAATCTTAACATCTCCAACTCTCTGACCTTCAGCTCAGCCTGCTGTCTTTCTTTCCCACCATCCTAAATCCTACATCACAGCCAACCCTCAATGTTTGACCAAAAAAACCCTCACAAAACATATAACATACCACCTGGGCTCTTTACAGTTAATTTTAACAAACTGTTAAACAATATTACATGAACAGAAATACATTAATAACTAAACCTAACACTGAAGAAGTTCAAAATGTTTGAAGAAAAAAATTATTCTTTAATAAGCAGTTTGGCTATGCATGGAGCTGCCTTATGCCAGCAAACACAATATTTCAAAATACCTATAATGACAACAGTAGCTCCCATAGCAAAAACAAGTGGCTGAAAAAATGTAGCTGGATCACACGCTTCCAATCTCTGGTCAATCTCAAACCCTTCTGGTACTGGTACTGTTGGTGAGAATTAGAAGAGAGGTGTCAGACATGATCTACAGGGTGGGCCGTTTATATGGATACACCATAATAACATGGGAATGGTTGGTGATATTAAAGTCCTGTTTGTGGCACATCAGTATATGTGAGGGGGCAAACTCCTCACACCACACCATTGTTTTTCTTGTGACATTACCAATAAGTTTGATGTGTCACATGACCCTCTTCCTATTGAAAAAACAAAAGTTGTATCCAAGATGGCCGACTTCTAAATGGCCACCATGGTCACCACCCAACTTGAGGAGTTTGCCCCCTCACATATACTAATGTGCCCCAAACAGGACTTTAATATCACCAACCATTCCCATGTTATTACGGTGTATCCATATAAACGGCCCACCCTGTAGTATAATGGCTTTATGCAGTCTCATCAACAACATGTTTACAGAAGAATACATAAAATTAAATTAAAAGATAAATAAATGCATGTTCCTTTCTCACAACAACAATCTGACACCTGTACTACAAAGCAAGCTTTGGATCTCAAAGAGTCAGCTCTGGGTTTTCAGCGTTGAGCTACATTCACAGTGGATTCTGGTTCAATGAAAAGTTAATGGCATTGGATGACTTCAGATGAGTATAGGCAAAGTAACCTTCAACACAGGTGAGGGTGAGCTGTGAGTGCTTGAAGCTACTACCAATGAGAATGCAGTATGCAGTGTACCACCGAGTGACGTTTGACCTGGAAGTAAATACATTTGAGGTTACCTAGGCAATGGAATTATGGGATGTGTGCATGTGACCGGTCGTCTTCAAAGCAATGTGCAACGACTTAATCAATTCCAGTTTGGATGCAGCTTTAGGAAAGCGGTTCACTTCTTGTTAGGCTACAACACCACGTGAAACTCAATTGCAGACCTAAGGCTGATCAGTCAGTTATCTGGAAAACAGCATCAGTAAGAAATTCACATTCACTTTATTACTGACTTCATTAGGTACAGGATGTTCAGCTGCTCATCAGTTCAGGCATCTAGTCACCCATTTTCATAGTTTTAACTGAATGAAACTAGGCACGGGGGAGAAAGGTGATATGAGTGACTGTTAATGTGGCACCAACAGCAATTGGGTTATTTCAGTTTTTCAGAAACTGCTGATCTGCTGGAATATTTCAACACAACCATATCTAAGATTTACCGAGGATATCCACCCTCAAGTGACACCTAGAGGAACAGCAGTTTTTACATGTTGGCTTCTTTTGAGCACCGGTACACTTTGGACAGGTAGGCAGCCTATCACAGGGCGGCACACAGAACCACAAAAAACATTCATTCTCACATTCACACCTACAGCCAATTTAGAATCAATAGTCAACAAAGCAAGCAAGTCTTTAGACTCAGGACAGAAGCCAACAATTCGGGGTGAATTTAAAAATCAATTTCCAGATTCAAATCATTTTTAGTTTGAATAATGCGATATTGATTAATTTTTGATTGATTGATTTTTGTTCCACACAAAGATGTAAACACAAAGATGTAAACACTTTATGTTTACATCTTTGTGTTTACATCTTTACTTCCTGCACAGTGCTCTCTCTCAGTGTACTCAGAGCCATTTACCATCAGAAATCTCTGTTTATTACACGATTCGCTTATGACTCTGCTGTTCAGTGCTCTCCACCACTATTTTTTTGTTTGTTTCCTCTTTTAATGACAAAAAAGCCTAATACAGTGGAACCCCAACTTACGAAATTAATTTGTTCCCGAGGGTCTTTCGTAAGTCGAAACTTTTCGTAAGTCGAAGCACCCAGTGAGTGAGGTGATGCTGAATGATAAGCTATAGGCTAATTGCTAACAACAATAGGTCGTTCAAGGGGTTGTCACATGATCCGGTAGGCATTGTAGGCTCAGCCAATCAGAGCCAGTGGATTTCGTTACACGGGCATTTTGCCGTAACACGGGCAGAAATATTGCCATTCAGTGCCTTCGTAACTTGAATTTTTCGTTAAATGGGGTATTCGTAAGTCGGGGTTCGACAGTATCTTTTACAAATTACGCCCTCTGCTTCACTTCAGCAGCATCAGGTAATGTTCATATGTTGATTCTGGGTTTTCTTCCGTTTTTGTTCTACTGCAGAATATTTTTAAGGAGGTAATTTGCTATTCTGTGTTTTATCCTCAGTAACATTGATACAAAGGTATGCTGCTGTGATGGTTACACCTCTGATGAAGTCTCACAAGTGTCAGCTTTGTTTTACAGATTTAAAAATATGGGTATGCACTGAGAAATGACCAGAAGCATAATAGTTCTGACAGAGTCTAAATTGAATTGAGTCGAATCAAATCGATTCAGGACTTTTGAATCAGAATTTAATCAGTTATTACAATCAGTGACGATACCCAGCCCTTTTAACAGCTAATGTTACAGTTTTCACTGTGTTTGTAAGTCACTCTGCTGACAGTGGACAGAAACTGAACTTCTGATTGTTTAAAGCAGCTAGATTAATAAACCCAGTGTTGACTTACTGATCTAATAAACACCCTCATGTGAAACCAAATGAAGAAGAGATAATCTGGATATGTTGAACTTGTTTTGTAGTACAGGCTCCAGGAAGAAGATTCATTTCTTCTACAAACTCACCTATTGTCAGCTTGATGCTTTTGATGGGCGTAGTCTTTAAAATGGCTGCCTTAGAGTTGTTTGTTCCTACCTGGGTGACATGACACTCGTACGTTCCATCATCATCAAATGTCGTGCCATACAGAAACAATGTCAATTTCCCTTTTTGCATGTCTGTATACATGAGACGTACACGGTTCGCATAATGTGGCGGCTGAGTGCTTGGATCAGATGCATTGCTCTGGTAAAAAAGTTCTTTTTCTAGATTCAAGACAGATCTGGTCCACATCACAGCTCCAATGGACTCCTTATTTGGAACCTCGCATGGCAGAATGGCAATTTCTCCAGGTGCAGCGAAAACTTTCATTGGTTCTGAAACGGAGAGGAAACAACACAAAACAGTTTAGAGCTAATATGATACCAAACAAACCAGAATACACTGCATGCTAAATATTTAAAAATTACTGAGAATCACATGAGGAGAATAATTTAGATTCCCCACAACACAAATAGAAATCAACTATAAATTTAAACCTGTCACAATCTAAGGATCGTCTATTAGATCAAGTAACACTGGAAAAAATGTCGCTCTCCCTCAAACAGAAACTTACATTACAGAATTACACTAACATGCTCCAGAGTGGTCAAATGTCACTCAGGTTCCTATTTCTTGGATTATGGTTCATTGTTGCTTAACATTTCTCTTTTGTTATATTAATTTCTACATTCATCATGTCCTTTTATCTTAAAAATTGACTAAAAGAGTAGTTGTAAAATAACAAACTGATCATCTGAAGAGATTTCAGAGCTCACAGTACAGAAACAGCTTTAGTGAAGGTTTAAAAAGGTTTAAGGTTCTCATGGCTTCTGACAGTGGATTCATCTCTGTGCTTGACCTACTGGAACTAAATGCAGTGTTCAGTAGGGATGGGTACCGGTATCCGGTGCCATTATGGCAGACCGAAAAGCAGCGCACATTTCAGTGCTTCATTTCGGTGCTTTCTTTTTTTACTGAGATGTCATACACTTTAGATTCTAGCCAATCATTTTACATTTGCAAGCGTAGTAGGCGGGTCCAGGTACGTACGTTCATTTAGAGCAGAGCTACAGATTAAAAATGCCCAAGGCGGAGCGGTCAGAAGTCTGTCTGTACTTCACAGCAAAAGATGCAAACTCAGCAGCCTGCAACAAGTGCTTTAAGCTGATACTGTGATACTGTGCAAAGCAGGTAACACCTCGAATCTGATGAAACACCTGGCATAGCGTTTTTTTAAAACCCGAGAAATGCACCGTATTTGATAGCTTGCTGCGAGACCTCACACCGAGCACATCTACTCTGTGGTGCCTGTTATCGACCTGGAGTTAGCAACATGAACCCGAAGAGGAGAGTCCTGGCCACTAGCCCTGCCAGTGTAGCAGAAATGATGAAGATGATGATGCAGCAGCCGTTCTTCTCTGCGTGAGTAGTTTACGTTGAGTAGGCTAACCACGTTATTACATTAATGCATGTAAGGTGAACTAGCAAACACCGTCGTAGTTACATGCGGCTGTCTTCTTGTTTGATGGCAGGTACTCCCTTCACCCTGGCCAAAAAGGCTAAAATGACCAAAGAAAAAGAGGAAAACAGCTAAACATGAGAGGTTTTTGGCCAAAGTTGGTGTTTCTTTTCCATTGTTTAAGCACTGCTTCCAGCCAAGAGTGATACCATATATGCCCTCTAGCTGCAGAAAAGGCTAACATTGATATCTTTTTACAAAAAACAGCTGAACATGAGAGGTTTTTGGACAAAGTTTGTGTTCTTGATTCTTTAAGCACCGGTTCGAGCACCGTTTAAGCACCGGCACCGTTTCCAAAGTACCGGTTTGGTACTAGTATCGGATAAAACCTAAACGATACCCATCCCTGGTGTTCAGTACTGTTGACTGTAATATTCTATTAGGGTGATTAGAGGATAATGTAGGTATTGCAGGTAGTGCGCTCCAGTGGTTTTCACAAAGGACTACATAAAGTGCAATACAGTGCTCCCTCGCTATAACGTGGTTCACCTTTCGCGGCCTCGCTGTTTCGCAGATTTTTTTGGGGTGTCATTTTGCATGCTTTTTTAAAAAAAATTTTTTTACCAGTGCAATTTGTTCTGTGTCCTGATTGGCTGTAGACCATTGTCAATCAATCTCCTCCATGCCGTGTCTCCAGTACAGTACAGAATGCGTTCAGCTTGTCAATAATCTGGCAGTGTCGCACTCAAGTGCTGTACAGTATGTTTGTAAGTTTTCTCCCCAACAAACACAACAATAGACGAAACATTTTGCACCGTCAAAGGCACCTGCGCTAGCACCCAAAAGGCAGAGGAAGATGCTAACCATCGCACAAAAAGTTGGACTTCTGGACATGCTAAAGGAAGGTAGAAGTTACCGTATTTTCCGTATTGTGAGGTGCATTATGCAAAACAAAACAGTCAGATAAGTCAAACTTTACTCAACTCATTCTTCTTGCTTCTTCTACTTCCATACCATTGATTCATTAATGTTGAGTTCTCTGGCAGCTGCTCTATTCTCATGTTCTGGACCTGAAAACAGAGTTTGATCTTTGGTTTCATTCTATAATACTGGACTTACTTTTCTACCAAGGTTTGAACTTTGAGAGAGTTTAAACAAGACAGAAAAGTGTGAAAATGTTCAAGGTTGTCTGAGAAAAGTGTATAAAGTGTGTAGTGAGGGGTTTTACAGCCTTAAAACATCTATAAAATTGTTAAAAAAAAAAAATCAAGCTGACTATGCAGATTTCACCTATCACGGGTTATTTTTAGAACGTACCTCCTTTGATGAACGAGCGACCACCGTATGCAAAAATCGCAAAAAAACAAAACAAAGACAGCGACACAGGCACAACAGACTGATACAGTCACAAGACAGTGCAGACACTGCAACAATGACAGTGGGTTGTGCAAAAGACTGATCACTGTGTGTGTATGAGACTGGGCAGATAAGTGCTTGAAGTAGTGACCTGTATGAACGTGTGTGTGTTTGTGTGTGTGTCTCAGTCCACTCATTGAGTGTTCAGGAGTCTGACATGGGGAAGAAACTGTTTTGCAGTCTGGCAATGAGGGCCCGGTACCTCTGGTACCTCTTACCAGAAGGCAGCAGGGTAAAGAGTGTGTAGGAGGGGTGTGTAGGGTCTTCCACAACTGTGGTTGCTTTGCAGATGCAGCAGGTGTGATCAATGTCTGTGATGGAGGGAAGTGAGGCTCTGTGGTAAAGGCTGTGTAAATTCCAATAAAACAGGTTAATCTACTCGGCCCTAAAGATGTTAGAAATATGATATCTAACCAGATTCTTACTCTGGATGGCATTACCTTGACCTCCAGTAACACTGTGAGGAACCCTGGAGTCATTTTTGACCAAGACATGTCCTTCGGTGCACATAATAAACAAATATGTAAGACTGCTTTCTTCCATTTGCGCAACATCTCTAAAATTAGAAATATCCTGTCTCAGAGTGACGCTGAAAAACTAGTTCATGCATTTATTACTTCCAGGCTGGACGACTGTAATTCATTATTATCAGGATGTCCTAAAAAGTACATCCTGAGTACTGCTGCTCACCTACAAGGTCGTAAATAATCAGGCCCCATCTTATCTTAATGACCTTGTAGTACCATATCACCCTATTAGAGCACTTCGCTCTCGCTCTGCAGGCCTACTTGTTGTTCCTAGAGTATTTAAAAGTAGAATGGGAGCCAGCCTTTATGCCCCTCTTCTGTGGAATCAGCTCCCAGTTTGGATCAGGTAACCCTGAATCCTCTCTTATTTATGCTGGATGTTTTTAAACACCTTTCTCCATTCAATTATTAGTTATTATTAATCTCTGGCTGTCTTTCGCAGCATCTTACCCCCCTCACCCAGAACTGGTCATGGCATGTGGCCGCCCCTCCCTGAGTTAGGGGGGAGCTCGCACCATCCGCTCCGAGCTCCCTGACCTGCACTCAATCTACAGCAGGCGGTGCTGGACCAAGGCCAGGAAGATCGTGAAGGACCTCAGCCATCCCAACAACAGACTGTTCTCTCTGTTGAGGTCAGGAAAGCGATTCCGCTCCCTGAAGACCAACACAGAGAGACTGAGGAGGAGCTTCTTCCCGCAGGCGATACGGTCTCTCAATCACACCACCACACAGTACTGACCCACACATATGGTTCTTACACACACTGGACATTCTGGACATTGTTTTCACTTCATCACTTAAATCACTTTAAGCATATTTGCACTGCACAAGACATAATGTGGATTGCACAACACTGGTCACTATATTCTTCATTTCCAGTTAATACTTGTACAGCTGCTGTTATTGTGTATATATTTATTTATATTTAGATTTCTTCATACATTCTTATATAGTTCTATATTGTGTATTTTGTTGTACAGTTATTTTATTTTCAACTTTAATTTATATATTTTATCTTATTCTTTCCCAGTTAAATTTACCCTTCATTCTAATTTGTGTTGTACAGTTATTTCATTTTTAACCTTAATTTATATTTTATTCCTTCCTAGTTAAATTTACCCTTTTTAATTTTTCATATTTATTTCCTATCTTATTCATAGCCTTTTCCTTTTTTGTTTTCTTTAGGTCACGAGCAGTTGTCCAAGCATTTCACTACATATCGTACTGTGTATGACTGTGTACGTGACAAATAAAATTTGAATTTGAATTTGAATTTGATTCTGCTGGAGGTTTCTTCCTGTTAATATTTTTGTTCTTCCCACTGTCACCGAAGTGCTCGCTCATAGGGGGTCATATATCATATTTTCTCTCTTGTCTTTTTATTATTGTAGGGTCTTTACCTTGCAGTATAAAGTGCCTCAATGCAACTGTTGTTGTGACTATATAAATAAAGTTGATTTGAATTGAATTACTGGGGACATCAATTTGGTCATGTTAATATTTCTGATTGTTTAAAGCAGCTAGTTTAATAAATACAGTGTAGACTTACTGATATAATAACCACCTTCATGTGAAGCCAAATAAAGGAAAAGATCATCTGGATATGTTGAACTTGTTTTCCAGGAAGAAGATTAATTTCTTCTACAAACTCACCCATTGTCAGATTGAGAGTGTTGATTGGCTTGGTCTTCAAAATGGCCGCCTTAGAGTTGTTTGTTCCTGTCTGGGCGACATGACACTCATACGTTCCAATCTCAGCAAATGTCGCCTCCACTATATACAAAGACAATTGACCATTCCACATGTCTGTATGCAGCAGATATATGCGACTCAGAGAAGCTGACTTCTGAGTGTCTGGATCAGACGCATTGCTTTGGTAAAAAAATACATATTTTGAATCCAAGTAAGACCTGGTCCACATCACAGCCCCAATTGATATATCATTTGGAACGTGACATGGCAGAATGACATTATCTCCAGGAAAAATCTTGAGGGTTGTGGAATCTGAAAGAGACAAAAAATACAACACAGACCAGTAAGATGGAGTTACAGCTGATACCAAACAAACCAGAATACACTGCATGCTGAATATTAATACAATTACTGAGAATCACATGAGGAGAAACATTTAGAGAGAATCGGTTGCCCACGACACAGATAGAAATGAAATATAAATTTAAACCTTTTACATGTAAGAATCCATTAGATCAAGTAACACTGGAAAATGTGTCTCCCTCCCTCAAACAGATACTTCCTGCTCAGTTGTTTTTGTACACATGTTACATTGCAGCAAAAAAACCCTGAAATGTCTGGTTCCAGCAGCCTCCTGTCAAAAGCTTTTAGACCCAACATGATGTGTCTCAGATAGGATGAGTCACCCACTTCACCCCAAATCTACAGGTACCATTAGAGTTACCTGTACCTGAGCTGGACTGCAGTAAACATAGTTTAAATGAAAATCACATGTGAGCTTTAGACACAATCAGGTAAAGACTAGTAGTTGAAAGTATAGAGATAATTCAAAGACAAAGGCATCAATTTAATTTAAAAAAAATTTGCCTGAAAAAAAATTACACAGAAAAAAACACTCTTACAACACTAATAGAAAATGTATAAATAAATGCCAAAATGTCAAAAATCAATTTTCAGACACTATATTATATTAACAGAAACTAGAATGATTTCAGTTTCTGTGAACACCTGGGGAATATCACACTGAAGCTGGACCTTTGTACTTTTAAGCTTTAATATCGGTAAAACCATTAACAACGATTTGCACAGTTTAACTAGAAGTTTATGCCTTAAATATGGAAATTTGTGCATAAAATATCAATCCCCTACCCGCTACACAGTGATTTCAATTGTCTTTGAAATCTGCTGTCAAAGTTGGGACAGCCAATAATTTCAATCCATCTTTCTGTGTGAGCTTCACCTCTGAGAGTTCACATTCATACAGCCATGCGATGTCCCTTAAAGTGCTTTTTTAGATAATAGAATTTTAAAACATCCTCTACACAGAGTCATATCAGCAAAATTTCTAACAACACCCTGATACCTGCTCATATGTAATCGAACATTCAATTTTCTCAAACAAAAAATTATTACAACAGGGACCTAAAAGTTTGCATAATTTACATTGAGAAGTTTATATTTGCCTTAATTTTTTCCCGGCAAATCTGGGATGATCGGGTGAGAGGTATTTAACGAACTGATATGGAAAGATCCCAAAAATGAAACATTTTTGAATTAAAATCACTTGAATTAAAAACCTTCCGAGCTGAGAGTATCTTCACAGATCCAACAGAAACATGTGTCTCATCGCTTTTGATATTTTTTTCATGATAAAAAATAAAAAAAATATTTCATGATTCCCCCTTTAATGCCTATTAAGGAAAATTGATCTTGAATCAATGAGTTTTGATGAAAAAGATCAACATTGTGCTCCACATTGAAAAGCATTCTGATTTTTCTTCTGCATTTGATTCAAATTGAGGCTCTGCTGATTAGATATTTTTGTCGTGGTGATTCCTGATAGATGCTTCAGATGGTTTTCATTACTCACACGTGTGAACTTAACACCTGTCTGTCCTCCACCTGTTGATATTTATCACTAAGACAAACACGCTCTGTCAAAATCCAAACACTAAGTGCAGCACACGAAGTATCTAACATAGTACAAAGTAGGAGAAATACGCATCTCTGTATATACATGTGTCGCTGCTGGCTGCAAGTCTGACATCAGACATTCAGCCAAAAGAGCTGATTTACATCATTCTAATGAAAAACCTCACCTCCAGAAGATGACGGTGACAGACAAAGGAGAATCAAACCCAGCACGACTCTTCTGGACACGTTCATCTTCGTCGGAAGTAGCAGTAGCGTTGAAGAGCTGCTTCTTCTTGGTGCGTTGGGGTGCTGTGAGCACTTGTACTCTTGTCTAACTGGACACAGTCTCCACTGTTCAATCGCAGGTTTTCTGCTTCAGCCCATCTGCCTCATCCTTCAGACTGGACGCAGAGTTGGAGGTTTGCTGCTCTCTACTGTTCATGTGTGAACTGCCTTAAATCCACATTCAGTTATTATTAAATCAACACTGAAAGTGCACAAAATGGGGAAGGAGACTACACATAAGATATTAACATTTGTTTGAGACACTTGCATGTTTGAAATCCTCAATCAAATTGACAAGTATAATCCAAGTAAATAGAAAATGCAGCTTTGAAATGATGATTTCATTTGCTAAGGGGAAAAAAATTATCCTACCTTCCTGGGGCCACGTGAAGAAGTAATCCTCCCCCAAACCTGCTATATGGTTATGTCACTACTGGCAGGGGCAATCAACCATTTGTAATAACTGTAAATGAGTCTTTCACATCACTGTGGAGGAATTTTACCCTCTCTGCTTTGCAGAATATGCAGCAAACTGAGAAACCAGGAGGAGGCTAAATACTTTTTAGAGCACTGTGAATTGGTTTACCGCCCTTTAATGTAAGCAAGATAGACCTTATATGCTAGAAAATGAGATTCATATGTATAATAACGATTTTTAAAAATAGTTGAGTGTTGAACTGCACACACAGACAGCAGGGGGCATCTGTTTCTGCTGTGATGAACACCATACAAGCAAAAAGAGATCATGCTAAAGGATGTTGACTGACTCTTAGGCAGTGTGTTGCAACTCTGTTAAATGTGGACTCACAGAGAGATTCACTCATTTCAGAGCAGAGGATATCACTGCCTTGCATGAACTTCATAACAAACATTTATAAAGCTGCTCGGAAATCAGGAAAAGACTTCAGTTCCCACAGTTTTATTCTCCTCTGGTTTAGTTTTAGTCTGAATTTGTCTTCAGTCTGACTTTAATGATAATCAGACTTCTCTGGTGAAATGACCCCCATGGCTCTGAGTTTTGTATTTACACAACTAACAGAAGAAGACGGCCGTAGTGATAGACGGAGCGGTTCCGAACGACAGCAACATCAGGAAGAAGGAACACAAGAAGCTGGAGAAATAAAAAGGCCTCAGTGAAGAGCTGGAGAAGATGTGGAGGGTGAAGGTAACAGGAACAGCTAAGCGACCGCGCAGGACCCTCAAGCTCCCAGGCGGTTGATATTATCATATAATTATAAATTATTATTGTAAAATAAGTGGATTTTATAAATATCCTGAACAGAAATGTTAAGTTATTTAATTGCAAAGATGGTGACTAAAGTTTTAATTTCAGGTGGAAAAAATTGATTTTATAATTAAGGCATAAAAACTGTACTGGACCAAAATCAGAAATGTGCAGAGTGCAGCAAACAGGGGCGGTCCTAGCATGTTTGGTGCCCTAGGCTCTGCAGTCGTTCACTTTCCTGTTTCTCCGTATGAATAAAAGATACATAAGCTGAGAGTGTTTCTCAAAACTGGGTTATTCATTCTAATCTCTTTGTCTTGTTTTCAGAAAACATCAAATTTTAATGAATTTAAAATAATAATATTCTGCATCTACACCCATCAAATACATAATATTTTAGGTTGTTCATTTGATGTAAAACTGCTTCCAGGTTTGTTACACCAACTGTTTCACTTCATAGATGCTTTTCTGATCGAGTTATTTTTTTTTTCTGAAAATCTAAAATTTTACAATCCTGCTATTTATCCTAATATGATTTATCCTAAGGTCCCAAAGAAGGATTTACTTACTTGGACTAACATGAACAAAGAAAAAAGTCAAAAAATGCTTGCAGCGTCTAGTGCTTTCAACTAGGACGTTTTGTTTATTTATTATATGTATTAATTATATATAAAGTATTGAATTATTGCAGTCAACACTGAGAGGACATTTATTCTCTTGGCATCTGTAGCTCTAGTATCTCGAGTAGCCAGAGCTGGAGATTTTTATGAATGGGAGTCACTGGTAGGATCAAGAACAAGGGTGAGGGTGGTGTTGGCATTTGGAAAAAAAAAGTGAAAGAAAACATATGGCATTAATTCTATTTTAATTAAATGCTTATTTTGTATTATTTTATTATAATTTAACATGTACTTTACAACAGAAAAAACACATGACATGCTGCGCAAAGTATTCCCTTCAGTGGGTAGTGGGTACATTTGTTGTTAGTATAACTCCAAAAATGGTGCTCCTGTGTGGTAACTCGCAAAAACAAAGAGAATTTTGTTTTTTCAAAGCAGTTTTATTTATTTAACTTCACTTCTGGACATAATTGGCAAGCTAATGTAACAATAATCGGTATCTATCTGTATATTGTGAAAATGATGTTAAAAAAAAAACAAATAATCAACTCTGAACAACCTTTCCAAATAATTCATACACCACATAGTCACATGACATTTTCCAAACACCTTTCAGACACAAATTAGCAAGCACAATGCAAGAAGAAAGGAAAAACTACTTCACACTCAAGTCAAGTCTCAACAAATCATGTCTGAGATACTTCAGTTTATTTAGAAAAAAATAATTTTGTTTAGTAATCACCAGTCCACTCCAGCTAAGTTCAGTGAATAGGAAAAAAAAAAAACACTTTGGTTTCCAAACAGACTGCAATGTGGAAACAAAAGAAGAAAGTGTGTGAGGCATTCTCAGACACAGAATTACAAAATTTTGCAAAATCAAGAAACAAATTCAGGGCTGGCAGTCAACCATAATAACCAGCTGGATGGACGTAAGCTGTGACACAGATTTGGAGGATAACTTTGGTCTGCTTCCTTACCGGCCTCTCTCCACACTATTATAAAAAGAACATAATGGGTTGAACCTTCAGTGAAGCACCAAATCTGAGTGATGTAATTGGTTGACCCGCATGATGGAAACACATAATTATATAAAATCACATTTAGAGAAAGCATAATATTTCAGGTTCTTCCCATCTTAGGAACACACTGGAACATTTCAGCTTTGCTGGTTGTTTTTCATTTTTAACCCCTCATGTTACTATTTTATGTTTGGTATAATAACTAAAAAGTAAAACTGGCTTTTTAAATGGGTTTTGATTCATTATTATGAATATTGAAAGAAACAGAAAATATAAAAGGGATAGTAGAATTTTTGAATTGTAAATATAAAAGCACTAATAGAAAAAAATTGAAGTCTAAGAGAATGCAAGAGTTGACATCACATTGGAACTGTGAAAACTGGAGTAATGGCTTCATAAACTGCACTGTGAAGAGTGAAGTAGATAGATTAGATGAGAATCAAATATGTTTATAAATGGAGTACTGAAACACATCTATTGGAGATTATGTGTCGGAGTTTCAGGGGACCACGCCTCCAAACACGCTCCTTCCGTTTGTCATCTATATAGGTTCCCCTGTTCTGCAAGCTGTTCATTCTTGTTTATGTGCCTCACCCTCCCTCCCTCCCTCCTTGTTCTCAATTCTTTAACTTCTTAACACTTATTTAGTGCATGGGGATCTGCCAGGCCCGGGAGCCATCGCCAAACCACTTCGAGGCCTTCAGCAAACCGCAGCTCAATTCATGTTCTAGCATTCACCTTTACCCACTAAACGCTTTCAAACCTAAAATGAGGAAGTCGGCCCAACTAGTGAATCCGCCCTTTGGCGGACATATGTATGACAAGAAAACATTAATCATGTTCTTGATAATTGAAGGTTGTGGGTGCATGCTGTGTGGCAGGTGGTGGGCCAGAACCATCTCCCAGGCATCCACCAGATGGACATTCAATCCTTTGAATATAGCCTTGAGTGCCTTTAGCCGCTGAAAAGTGTACCAGTCGCTGTTAACAAATGCGCCAAGAATTGTATAAGGTTTGGGATTTCCAGTCCGAATGACAACCACTGTGTCTGGAGCCCTGGACAGTAGCCGTACCACTGCACTGCGGATGGACATCAGTCGACGAATGTAGAACCCAATAGGGAAAGTGTCAAAGTGTGCCCAGATGCCAAAAACTACTACAGTGTTACTGCCTCCAAGCACATTGTCCAGCTCATTGGCAATATAATGCAGCTCCATGGATGGGACACTGACAGTACGTAGAGGAGGACCATGGGCGCGGAACATCACAAAGATGTTATTTGCATAGTCCAGGGCCATTAAAGGTCCGACTGATTTGTGGCTATGAAGGTTAAACTCCTTTAGATCTAAAAGAATTCCAAAAGGAATAAGTTAAACTACATAAATAAAATAGTGTAAATAAAATATTGTTGTTTGCCAGGTTTGCAGAGCAGCTACCTGGTAGTGCTGCATTAAGGTACTCAAACCACTGCCTCATTGTGGAGTCTCCATACATATGGACCAGCTTTCCTTTCAGACACCGAGTGATGGCTGAGGAAGTGTTGAACTGATGAACGGTGGTCCCACCTAGTGCTCGCCACACATCCTGGTAGTAATAGCCAGACGGTTTAGACTCCACACTACTGCTGTTCACCTCTAACTGACCTGGTAAGCAGTAAAACAGACAATTGTGTGTGTTTTTTACTTAATATGAAAAAGAAACAAACAAAGTATATTCTTAACCTGTTTGTAGCAATAAAACTTGCAATAAAACAGCTGGTTAACCAGCTGGGATTCTGGGCACGACGCACAGCAGCGGCGCACGTCGGCCCAACTTCCCGGCCAATAGAATCGGGCCATTATGCACTCCAGAGTTTTCTCACAACCCAAATGCCCTGCCATGGGGTTCGAATGAGCCGCCTGAAAAATCGTTTCCCGGCGGCTTTGCGACACCAACAACTGGGTGCGGATCTCATTAGTGTGAGTGTCGCGGCTCACTCGATAAAGCCGATCGTTCCGCAATTGGAAATGAGGGTAAGTCCGCGCAGCGTCAGGGCACACCAAGCGACCATCAATATCTATCACTTGGTCATAGGCTGAGCATAGGGTGTCGTCCCGAGACTGCTCTAGTGGAAAATCTTCCGTGGGGTGCATAACGGGAGGCAGTGGGGCTTCTGTAGAAGTCCCGTCCACCTCCTCCCCCCCAGAGTCTGTGTCAGTCGACCCCACATCACTGCTCAGCGCCGCGCAAACATCACACGAATTTACAGACCGCGATCGCATCCCCGCGTACTGCCCCAATAAGCTGTGGAACCAATCCGTGCCCAAAATAAGGGGATGCGACAGGCGCGGGCTAACCGCCACCTTAACTCTATGCGTTTTGCCCCTGAATTTCAACAACAGCAACACAACCGGGTACTTGTGAATATCCCCATGCACACATTTCACCTCCACCCACTCTGCTTCCAACAATGCCCTGGGGCGAACCAAGCTTTGGTGAACCAGGGTCTGGGTACAGCCCGTGTCCACCAAAGTGTGGCGTATACCCCCTTGACACCTTACCGGTATGCGGTACGTCCCTCCGGACCAGGAGCAGGTGCTGGAGCCCCAGCGACTCGGAACACCTGACCGACCACACCTGACCGACCTCCATTAGCAGGCAGTCCCGGCGCAGATGTCCCGGCCGTCCGCACTTCTAGCAATCTGGTCCCAGCGTTTGTGCGGCTCCCTGTGGCTCCGGGCTGGCGTCGGGTCTGTCAGTGTTTGCGGCCAGGAGCAGCGCTGCGAACAGATTCCTCGGGCTCCAAGCACCGGCCCTCTCCGACACACTGACCACGCCTCTCCTCCTCCTAGCAGCAGGCAGCGGCGGCCGCTCCGAGGCCCCTCCCCTCGGCCGCGACGCTTGGGGAGCCGGCAGCAGTCCCGCTGCCAGGTGATCTTCCGCCAGTGTCACGGCAGTGGTCAGGTCCGGCGGACGGTGACAGCAGACCCAGTGAGCCGTAGCTTCCGGCAGGCCCTCCACAAACTGCTCCAAGACCACCAGGTTCAGCAACCGCGCCTCCTCCTCCGTCAGACCCGACCGCAACCAACTCGCCGCAGTGTCTTCCAGCTGACGAGCCCAAGCGAATGGCTGCTCCCCCTCCGACATCCGGCTCGCTCGAAATCTCGAAATCGCTGCCGGTAGTCCTCCGGGGTGAGCCCAAGCCAATCCAGCACCGCCCGGCAGACATCCGCATACACAGTCCGAGACACCGGGGGCCAGTGTTGGGGAGTAACGGAATACATGTACCGCCGTTACGTATTTAAAATACAAAATATGAGTAACTGTATTCCGTTACAGTTACCATTTAAAAAGGTGGTATTTAGAATACAGTTACTTTGTTGAAATAAACGGATTACACTGCTATGTTCTGTTGTTCCAAGCGGCAGCGTTACGGTTGCATCATCTGTCTCAGAATCTGCAACGGCTGGACAGGCGGCTGGACAGGTGGCTGGACAGGCGGCTGGACAGGCGGCAGGCTGGGCGGCGGGCGGGCCGGCGGGCGGGCCGGCGGGGTGAGCGGCAGGAAGATCCGGCGGGGGGCCCGACGTGACAACACACACCAGGGTTTTGGCACCATTTGTGACACAGGACCCACACACACACATGTTATGCTTAGTGTCTTTTTATTTTGACAATAATCTGCGTTTTTTTTGGCACCCGCCTTGAACGCAGCCACTCCGTCTCTCTGACAGCATCATCTGCCCCATTTCACTGTGGGAACACAAAAAGACATCTCCCTCATTGAAGCAGTCCTGTACACCTGCCTCCCCGCCTCCATGCCGCCCAGAGAGCTCACTGTGTCACCACTCCTCTGCAGCAGGCCAACAAACCACACCCCTGCCACACTGGCCATTTTCGGCTTTTATCATATCCCATATGCCTTCCCATAGGGTTATATGGGCGGGCTGCCTGGAAAATCATTTCCCGGCAGCTTTTTGGCACCAACAAGTGGGTGTGTTGGTATTCTGTGTGAGTGTCTGGACTCACTCAATACAGTCTATCTCTAATCAGTAGAGAATGTGTAAATGTCCGTTCTGTGTCAGGGTGCACCATGTGAACATCAATTTTTATTACTTAATCAAAGGCTAAGCATAGGGTGTCAACACGAGACTGCTCACATGTAATTAATTGATTTGAGATTCAGCTTCAGATGCAGAAAAAAACAGGATTACTCCCTGAAATCTGCAAATGTGCTCTTCAGTTAAGGGCCTCCAAACAACAAAAGTCCTCCAGAAGGCACAGCACCAGCTGCTCAAGTAACGGGTGAGATAAACACATTTTAGCATCAATGTACTAAAAAGAAGCAGAGCAAATACGTATGAAAGTTTCAACCTGTCTCAGCAATGCAACACCCCCCAGCATGGATGCTGGGGGTATCAACATGGAAGAGAGAAAGCAATCGCATTGCTTGGTAATGACAAATGGTAAATGGCCTGCATTTGTATAGCGCTTTTCTAGTCCCTAAGGACCCCAAAGTGCTTCACACTACATTCAGTCATCCACCCATTCACACACACATTCACACACTGGCGATGACAAGCTACATTTGCCAGAACAACTTATCGTCCTTCTGGCAAAAAAGGGTAAGTGCGCAGTTTTGCTAAACCAGAGGGACTATAGTGATAAAACTTTGTCACTGCTCAGTGACCAAAATACTTGTGAGCCCCTGAAGCAAGACCCAAGAAATGGTTACAGGAAGAGGGTGATAGATGACATTCAGAACAAGACAATGCTTTTGGCTGGACCTCATACCACAGGCTATAAACGGGAAATCTACACCAAGTCTGTATGGTTTACCAAAGATACATAAACAGGGTGCACCTTTAAGACCGATTGTCTGTATGATCACCTCGGTCACCTATAACATCTTCAGGTTTCTGGCTTCGATCCTCAACCCGTTCGTTGGCAGCTCTGAACACCTCATCCAGAACACTTTGGATTTTCTTAGGAAGGTGAGAGATGACATTATGGAGGCAGATAAAACCATGGTCTCGTAAAATTTTACATCTCGCTTCATTTGTGTTCCAGTCACTGAAGCAGTGGAGGTATTTCGTAAGAGATTACAGGACGACCCCACCTTAGTAATAGGACCACTCTCAGCACTGACCAAGTGTGTTTGCTTTGAGAACTGTGTCTGAATTCCACCTATTTCACATACGACGGTCAATACTACAAGGAGAATTATGGGTGCACGATGGCTTCCCCAATTTCACCCATTGTAGTCAATTTGTTAATGGTGAGTGAGAAAGTGAGCTCTGCTGTCCTACACTGGAACACCATAAAATCATTGGTTCAGGTATCCATCTGTTCTCTCCTGCTTATTCTTTTCAGGGTCCTGGGGGGCTGGAGCCTATTCCAGTTAGGTCGAGAGGCAGGGTATACCCTCGACTTGTCGCCAGTCTGTCACAGGGCTAACACATGGAGACGAACAACCATTTGCACCCAGATTCACACACACATTCACTATTATGGGCAATTTAGAATGACCAATTAACTGAACCCTACATACTGCATATCTTTGGACTGTGGTCGGAAGCCGCAGTACCCGGAAAGAACCAATGCAAACACGGGGAGAACATGCAAAGTCCAGACAGAAAGGCCACAGCCAGGTGTTGGAATCGAACTCAGGACCTTTTTACCTTCTTGCTAATCATCGCACCACCATGCTGCCTCGTTCAGGTATGTTGGTGAAAATCAACTCTCAGGACTTACCACGAAACACTGATCACATTTACTCAGTGGAACAATACATCATGTTCACCAAGGAAAAAGGTGGCAGGTTAGCCTTCTTGGACTGTGAGGCTTCCACGAGTAAGGAGGGACATTTAAAAGTTGATGTGTACCATAAACTAACCCATACAGATAAGTATTTAAAGTTTGACCACTGGAGCACAAACTGTGTGTCATCGCACTACGACACAGAGCGAAAACCATCCCCAAAGAGAGGCCAGGGAAGATATAGAGATGGAGATTAAGGTATAGATGTTAGCAGTAAGATTTGTATTTTTACCTTTCTGCTTTGGAAAAACAGTGACATTGGCAGGTCCTGAAGCTGGAATGGAGACTTTCATGTTTACGCCGCTGAGGAAAATACACACAATAAAATCTTTTCACAAAAATTGGAAAGTATTTAAATGATTTTTAAACTAGAGAGACGTATTAAATACAGTCAATCAAATTCAAATTTTTATCATTGTCATATTTAGGTAACAATGGTACACAACTACTGACAATGAAAATTTTAGGCTCAGTAGGCAGCAAAAATAGCTCGAGTTATAAACTACCAATCATTGAGCTTCAGACAAGATTGAGAAAATATGGAACATTTTTCCAGGTAGCAAGCTACATAATTCCCTCTCTAGTATATTAAAAAGTGAGGGGATTTATTTCATGTGTTTTGAAAGCATTTGCAGAGTAGCACTTATTTTCCCTTGTATTAATTTTTGATTTTAGTAACTCTAAAAATTGAACACCACAGGTAATGCTCACCTCTGAAAAAGCTTCTCCATGGTTGTCAGGCTTTCTTTATATCCTCCATTGTAGTTGCTGATCCTGGTGTCACAACTCATATTTTCTGGCTTATAGCAGAACCATGGCTCACCTGTACGTAAATCTGTGTAGTTGCACACAGGCTGGGTTGGACGTAAACATACGTTGCAGGTGGTTGTTCTAGTGAGCAAGCTCGAGCGGAACTGACTCTTGAAGTAGATCCTGTCGGGTTCTTCTATGTTCACCCTGCGCAGCTCTGTGACTGCCTCACTGGGATGAACCAGTGTCACCTGGTAGGACAATTAATCAAAGTGTTGAAATTTGGGTCTCACAGAAGTATATATAACATGTATCTGGTACATGGAACTGTTAAATATTATTAAGCAAGACAGAACTTCATTGTGCTACAGTAAATGTGAAGTTGTTGATATAAATAGTCCCTGCAGGCCAGGATAGGTCTGAACCTTTGATCTGGCACCAGGAAGCGCCGCGTCTCCTGATGTGTCACCTCTTATTCCTGTGACCATTAGCCTTCTTTACTCTGAGGCTTCCCACATCCTGGGGAGACCACACGTCCACGAATCCACACACAACCTGAGCCACTTGCACACACCTGTGGGTCCTGTGCACCTTGACCCTGAAGGTGAGCCCGAGCCTATTTCCCATTCCAGATGAGTTCAAGCCTCCCATATCTTTTGAGCCTGAGACTGTCCACCTCCACTGCTCATCATCTGCCAAGTTTCCAATGCCACATGATTTCCTTAGGGATTAAGTAAGTATCTTGAATGTGAAGGGATTCTGTCTTGCCTCCTCCATCACTGAGTTGTTGTATTGTAATATCCCCCCCGCCCAGGAGAAGGCTTAACAATAACCAACAGGCCATAGCGGTGGTAGACAGATAGACAGACTGAAGAAGAAGGCCGTAGTGATAGATGTAGCGATTCCGAATGACAGCCACATCAGGAAGGAATATGAGAAGCTGGAGAAATACCAAGGGCTCAGAGCTCAGAGAACAGCTTGAGAAGATGTGGAGGAGGAAGGTAACAGTGGTTCCTGTGGTAAGTGGAGCACTAGGTGCAGGGAACAGCTAAGATACTGTCTACAATAAGAATGTTTGGCATTGGTGCTTTAGCACAGCATCAAGTATGTAGTCATTAAGTGTCGCTCAAAGCTAAGTGCCTCATTATCCAGTTAAATATTGCTACTACAGAAATATTAGTCATCACAGAGTGATGTGCTATTTTCTTAATCACTTATCTTTGCTCATACACTTATTTTATTCTCTAGCTATCAACATAAAGAATGGCCCTTGACCACTAAGATACACACATTTTATTTTATTTTATTTTTAGTTTTTTATTTCTATTTTATTATTGCTAGTCTTATTGTTTTTTGTTATTATTTTTTTCTTTTTATTTCATTATCATTTCAGTTGATGCAACAATAAACTTCACGAATACGGGATAAATTAAGCATTCCTATCTTAAATCTGCTAGCAACTACAAATACATAGATAAACTCTTAGTGACTCCAGCAACAACTCCAGTAACAATAAAAATTAAAAGTTTTATCATCACCTCAACCTGTGCGCTTCCTTCCCAGAGTAAAGAGAATACAGCAGAGTAGGAACCATTGAGATGATCCACCACTTGTCCTGCAACACCAGCACCAAGGGTGGGGTTGTGCAGCTGGGCAAGTAAGACGTCTCCCCCATACTTCTTTGGACGGCCCATGAAGTCATATATTTTGATCAGGGCCTCCAGGTTATCCCCTATTTGCCACTGTCCCTCTCTCTTCCTGGGGAGAATGGTGAAGGTGCTGTGGGCTGGATCACTGCTGCTATTCATAAAAAGAGGTGATGGTAAAGATGGGGTTTCAGGCCAAGCAATGGACTCTAGCAGAAGTTGTTCTTCAAGAGTCTCCTCAGGGGACAGTGGTTTTAACTTGCAGAAGTTGTAATGTATGTCAACAGGTTGAGTTACAATGGCAGGTCTTGGGTAGGGGATGATGTAGGTGGTGTTTATTTTCTTCTGAAACTGGAAAAGGGAGAGAGCATGGCAGTTATATAAACGCTTCAAACAAAAGAAGTCTGTGTTTAGTTTTAAACACAACATAATGAATGATTCCTCTTGACGTGACATTTCCTGCTTTCACTATCTTACTTGCAATGTATAATGCATGTCAGCTGAATTTCCCAAAGGAACCCACCCGAGGGCTTAATAAAGTTTTATCTAATCTAATCTAGCTCTTTATTCAATACAGTGATTGAATTATTAAATTACTACTTGTAATATATTGTGATGGAAATTTCTTTTACGCTTATATATTGATCACATGTTCTGACAATAGTATATATATATATATATATATTAGTTGTGCATTAAGGATAGCATAATTGTCATGGTTCTGGGTCAGTTTCGACCCAGCATTTTGAGTTCCTTATTTTTTGGTTTATTTTTACATTTTGGAGTGTTTTGGGGTTTCTCTGGTGTTTTGATTATTTATGATAAATTATATTACTGTGGTTCTGTTTTAGGGTTTTGTTCGCAGGTTTTGTGTTCTCATGTTTTGTGTGGGTTTAGTTCTGTGTCTAGTCTGCGTCCTTGTGTAGTGATCTCTTGTTTCCTGTTTTATTGTGAAGGTCTGCGTCTCATGAGTGTGTTCAATTTTACCTCCCTTGTCCCATTTCGTTAATTACTTCCAGCTATGTCCACCACCTGTGTGTATTCTCCTGGTGTTTCTCTGGGTGTATTTAAGTCGTGTCTTCTGTCATTGTAGTCACTGGTCCATCTGTGTATCTACCATGTTCTGTTCGTGTGTTCTCCCTGCTGTCTATCGTCCTTCATGTTCGTGTTCTGGTTCGTGTTTAGTGGTTTAGTTGTTCTCAGTTTAGATAGTCTGCCGTTCCGTTTGCCGTTTTTCTATTTGTGTTTTGTGTTCATTAAACCACCTTTTCAAGTGCCTGCGATTGGATCCTCCTTTATCATCTCCACACGGCTCACTCCACTCACCTTGACAATAATATGTTTTTTGTACTTTATTCCACACGGATTTTTTTATGTGTGTATATGCATATGCCCATATACGCATACAGATATACATACATGCACGTACGTGTGATGTGTATGAGCTCTCGTCAGTGTGGCCATCTTACGACGCACCAGGATGTGTAAATGGGGGCCGGATAGTTAGTGAGTCTGTAGGCGTCCTACCAGATGGTCTGCGTGAAAACTATTTTTGATTGTATGTTAAAGAAATGTGGTATGATAGGTCAAAAAAGTAAATTTAAAAAGGGGGGAGGGGAAATAAAAGAGTGGTTTTCCTGAGAGTGAACCGATTTAAAAAGGTGGAAGAGCAGTTGGGGAGGAAGAAAAAGAGATATTTGTAACCAATGTGACATCATGAGATTTAAGAGAAACAAAACAATAAACAAAATGACTAGCCATAAAGATCATGGGGCCCTCTGTTTTATGAAATATTTTCACCATTTTCACCATTATTACTGTTTTACTTCATCATAAAAGTACCACGTATTTAGTTGCATCACTTTGACATTTCAGAAAATACAGATGTCTGGAAAAAATTATTATTTGTCGAAATTATCCAAGAAGACTACTAGTATCATACATTTGGATAATTTTTAAAATAAAATACCAGAGCATGTCATTCTGAATTCATTGTAAAACAGCATATTCAGTATATAAACAGCATTTCTTGTTAATAGTCATAGTTGTTTTACCTGACAATATTATTTATTTATTATTATTCATCTAAACACATTCAACCTAAAACCGTTTCTAGAATGTGTCACGGCACTGGGTCTGGTGACCCTGTGTTTGTGTTTTTGATTTAAATTGTTTTCTTTGAATAATTGTTTTCTGTTTGTGTTGTATTTAGTTTCGGGTTTGCTGTTCTGTTTCTGTGTCTCCCCTGTGATCCTGTTGTCGTCTCGCTAGTGAAGGTTTTGTTCTGTAGTCTTTTTATATCATTATTTCTCTCTGTGTTGTATGCTTGTCTTTGTTCTCGGTCACTACACCTCTGTGTTCCAGTTATTTTTGTCTCTGTACTTCATGTTTCCTCTGTTCCCAAGTCTTCCATGTTTCCACGTCTCAGTGTCTAGTCTGCGTCTTTATGAATGTCATGCTTTCTGTTTTATTTTGATAGTCACTGTCCCATGTGCAGTGTATCTAGTTTTGCTTTCCCCTTGTCTCACTATAGCTGTGTCCCAATCCAGCGACCGCACGCTCTGTAGTACGTAGTTGGGCTTCATTTCTGTACTGTACTTTACTGATGTAAATATAATATGGCCAATATTAAAGTTATTATTAGATTATGATATATTACAGCAGTGAGTTTGAACTCTGTCAAATACTGAGCTTCAAAAAAGATTCAAGTTATCACCTATCACCTTAAATCTTCACTCAAAGAAAAGTATCTTTGACAGTGTATATATAGATGTATTATATATATAAGAGACAAATATTGTTCATTTAATATGTTGGCATTACTAAATTTGGCTCAATGCTTACATATATGTGTAAAAAGGAAACGTACGAGCTGTGAAAACTGTTTCTGATAAAATGAAGAGTAGACTGATATATTAAATATTCCTTTATTGGGTGAGAAAATCAGACCATGTCATAACTGCTTTAAGTCACACAGAATAGATATCAGAGCCTTAAACAGGCTGACTTCTGCTAAATGGGTCAAACTGGGCAGAAGGTATACAAACACATAACATCCTCATAGAATATCATGTAACACCATAATAATGGATTGCATTTATATAGCGCTTTTCAAGACCCTCAAAGCACTTTACAATTCCAGTATTCATTCACTCTCAACACACGTTAAAGTCCGTTTGGCTCGACACCACCGAACATAGGCAGCAATATAGCATAGCTCACATTAACAGTGCAGTGGATCCTGCTTGTGCCGTGATATTCAGGACTGCAAACCGAGCAGCATCACTGACTTTCAGCTTGTTGTGTTTGTGGATATATGACTGACTTTAATTATCCATAAAATCATCACATTCTCTGTAAGATTAAGGTTAACTAGTAAACAGCGTATATTTTAAAGTAAAGGCTTTAAAACCAAGTTAACGCTGAAAGTACAAACATCGTTAATGTCACATAACTTTGCCGACATGTGGCCAACAGTAATGTCTTAATGTTCTTCATTATTAAACATTAGCACATAAATAAGTGACATAATATTCAGTACTTACTTTTAAAAATTGATCCTAAATTCAACTGGAAGCCAGTATTAGGAGGCCAGAACTGGAGTAATATGCTCAAATTTTCTTTTACCAGTTAAAAACGGTGCAGCAGCATTCTACACCAGTTGCAGGACTGACATAGCACCCTGGCCAACCCCTATTAAAAGGGAGTTGCCTGTATCAGTATCTGAACTGAAGGCACGACAGTGTGGGACAGGTGCAACCTGTTTAATCACAGGACTAAGAGGAACAATGTCAAATAAAATGGGCTTATGGTCAGAGAATACAGTATCCTCGACATGTAAGTTACAGACACATAACTCATATGATAGCACAGTCCAATGTGTGACCTTGTTCTTGAGTGGCACCCTTAACAGATTGAACAAGATTAAGAGTTCACTAAGTCCATTAAGTCCTTAGCCAGGGGCTTCCCTGGGCAACAGCCGTGAATCCAGGATCTGGTCATACCGTGATACACAGTAAGCAAGAAAGCCAGAAAACTCAGGAAAAAAAAAAATCTTATTATATCTAGGAGGATAGTGAACTATCCTTCATTTGATATTTCTTGTGCTTTGGGATGTAGCTGTAATGAATGTATGGAAAACCTACTACAAATCCATTAATTCATTTATTATATTCCACTTGTTGAAGTGAATCACACAGATTAACAATCTGATGAACATGTTGAAAAGCAGTTTGGGGGTTTAGTATCTTGCAAGAGGGTACTTGCAGACTGGAGCAGGCAGGGCTCGAACAACCAAACTTGGTATCCAAAAATTGTACTCAAGTAAGAGTAGCATTACTTTAAAATAGTCTTGAAGGAGGATGTCTCAACTATAGAAAATGGTTGGTTGGCCTCACATCAAACGTAAGGAGAAGCTTGTCAAACGTTGCTTGTGTTATCCACCTAGAGCCAGTAAAAGAATCTGTAAGTTTTGCAAAACGACTTTCGTTTTCTGTGGCTGTCCATTAATTCTGTATACATCCTCATTTTGTTGGAGTGAACCCTCTGTTGGCAGAAAAAAATAGAGCATGAAATGACATGTGACTAAGCAATGTCTATACAGTTTAAAAAAAATAAAAAACAATGTTCCCATATTCTTAACCCTCCTGTCATGCTGTCATGTTCAACTATTTGGGGTGGGTGATGAACATGACCGGAGGGTTAAACTAGCACAAAAAAAACATTTTTCACCACCAAATTCAGTTAAGTGGGCCGTTCAGTGAGTGGATACCAACTCATTTCCTATGGCAGTCACTTTTGTCCAGAAACACCACAGGTGCAACAATGTTGATTAAAACACTCAAAATTCAATGAACAAGGTGATCATCACTTCAAGTGCATGTTCAAGTGCATAGTGTGGAGGATATCATTAGGCATCAGGTGTAAAACACAATATTTATCAGTGCTTTAAGTTGTGTTGACCCAAAGACGACAGGAAGGGAAGAGAAACAAAGTCATGCCTGCATTACATGGGTTTGTGCTAAAAAGAAAAAAAATTCCAGATAAAGTTCAAAACAAGAACGTATGAAAGGCTTGCAGTGCTAGTCAATAGATTCTCCTTCAAAAAAAAAAAAAAAAATGTTTAGCTTTTCTTCTTTATAAACTTCTACACCTTATAACTGTACTTCTCTGAAGCAGGAGTGAGGACAAAAAGTCACTTGTGGAAAAAAGAAAAATATCAAAACGGCTTAATTACTAATGTAGTTTCTAGGAGAAAGGGAGTGATTCTGGATATGCGCTTTTTTTTTCTTTTTTTTTAATCATCTCATTTCTAATATGGGCAAAGCCTAAGACTGTGATTCTATAACCCACGGGTGTCAAGCTCCAGTTCTCGAGGGCCAGTGTCCTGAAACTATTAAACTTGTCCTCACCGTGACAGACCAAATAAAATTATTAGGTCATTAGCAAGACTCTAAAGTACTTGACTGCATGCTGAAGTGGCAATTCAGCCATTTAATTCATGTGTGTTGGATTATGGACACATCAAAAAGTTGCAGTACACTGACTCTCAAGGAATCAAGCTCGACACAGCGGCTGTAAGACTGACATCCACTTAACCACAGCTAAAAAAAATTTTAGAGCAAACTTACCGCAAAATGTTTCCTCAGGTTAGATGTTGAGTTTTTGTACGCTGAAATGTCACTTTGCTCTGGCTCACACAGAAGACATCGCATTATATAGCTGTCCTTTTGTACTCCTTTAAAGCGAAACATGCTTTGCATATGCGGCCAAGGGTGTTTGTCCTGTTCAGTGTTAGCGGAGACGGTTGCTTCTGCCATTTTTTTATGTGTTTCTTCTATCCATCTTTGTAAGTTTGAAAGGCTTGGGCTGCTCGGCCCGCCATTTTATATCTGGTCATGTGACTGCATGGCTACGTCTGATTGGTGAAAGAGTTACCGGTAGCTCCAGTGGTGGCATGATCCATTATTATTAGTATTATCCAATATGTGAAATCAATTATTTTTTAAAAAGTAACAAGTCAAATAAGACAAGACTTTTTATGCTAATCTCAATGTTTTCTCCCGCACTACAACCCACAGTAACTAATCCATGCCCTTCTTTTGTGGACTATAACCCCCTTTATGCTGTTTGTTTATGCTGCTACTGGATGACTGCCAATAAAGGTTCATTTGGTTTGGCCCCTTAAACACACACAACCTTTCCAAACCTGAAGTCGTATCCATATTTCTGAGGTCGTTTCACTGATAACAGTCAGCTGTTACTAGACCTGAGAGTAGAAATCAGTAAAGATGGCAAACGTTTCGCTCTCCTGTTAATCACCAGTAGCTCCCTATGGCCTGTCTACCACTTAACCTTTTAATTTGATGAAAGCTTTGTCTAGACTTCACCAAGAACAGGATGGAAACTGGATCAATTTAACAGTATGCAAACAGATTTTTTTGCTTAATGCTTAGTCTGGAACCTATTTTTGATGTAAAAGACCTGACTTTATGGTGGTATTGCACTTTTCATTTAGAGTTATGGACAATGTAATTGCGTGGCATTGCCACAAGGGGGAGATAGTGGCGAGTGCGATAGGCCGTTGCAACACTTCTCTGCCTCAGACGAGGAAGAGCCTGCAGTGCCAACTGCCAATATAACTGTAAGAAAGAAAGAAAGAAAGAAAGAAAGAAAGAAGAGCCTGCAGACCGAACGCAACTGATGTCTCCTGTCTCTGCTTTTCTGTTAAAAAACAGGTCAGTAGTTCAAGTTAGCTCACTGCAATGTACATATAAACCAAAGAAAGCTTTTTCTGTCTTAGTTTAAAGACCGCGAATGTTGTGAGAGAGTGTGTTTTCACTGATTGAGAGAAAGCTAACTATACCGCCATGTGTAATGGCAGCTGCCATTTCACTCGTAGTCTAAATAGGCAGCTGGTCTTATTACCTGTTTTATTTTGTGACAAATGCAGCTCTTAAGACGCTTCTTTATCCTGACATTATTGGAAGTTACAGTTGATTAGGACCTACCCAGTTCTTATGTGTCAAATGTAAATAGTCTGATGTATACTGTTTGTGGATGATTGTGAACTGTTTGTGAGGAATGGAAGAATATTTTTGTTTATTGGTTACAAATGTAATATATTGTTTGAATCTGTTCAAGTATAAGGGATGTATAATGGTATATAAGCAGGTTAATTGCAGTGTTAGTGATGCTGCACAGAAATGTTTTTGATGCTGAACAGCAGTAGAATTGGTTACAGATTTACTGTAAAGGACACTCATATACAATGATTATTTTCTAAGTTTATTCTTGCGAGAGTGCAAGGTAACCAAAAGGGTTTGAGCTATGGACCTAATTGAATGTGTTTGTGTTGTTAAAAGAGAAATTTGTGTGTCTGAATGAAAAGAAAAGTAACTGTTTAATTCTGTTAATAAATCAGACGAGGAAGAGCCTGCAGACCAAACGCAACTGATGTCTCCTGTCTCTGCTTTTCTGTTAAAAAACAGTTTAAAAACAGACCCCATCGAAGGCCTGTAACAATTTCATTAATCCCAGGTAAGACTCCATATGTTTAGAGCTGCTAGGTGTAAAGTTCATTAAA